TCCCCTTCACCACCAACATCTATTTCCTTCAGGACACCTACTGGCTTTGCCACCTATCTCTCAACTCCCTTTCTCTACTCACACTGCTCTCATTCTAGTCCTTTCTACTGTCAGCTTTCCCCCTGGAAAATACTCTGCTGCTGCTCTCCGCTTTCACTCTTTACTCCTCCAGACACAGAGGAAAGGCTGCTCAATTACAATGTAAACCAACTAATCTCTTGGTAACTGACAAGCCTGAGTTTAATTTCCTAAGTCCTTAACCTCTGATCTCTGACTTTGGCATTCTAGGTCCCAGCTTTGTTGGGACTTTGGCTACTTGGAGAGGCAGTCTTGGGTCCTACCCAGGCGGCTCTGCAAAGGTGATTTTTCTGGTTACACTGCTCTCTGCACGTCCTTCCCCAACTAATACCAACTAATTCTTGCTTAGCTGGTACCGGCTAATTCTTCAGAATTCAGCTCAAATCTAGATAAAATGTCACTTCCTCAGGGAATTGGCAATGTGTGTCTCCCTCCCCATATGCACCATGAAGGCACAGTGCATGTCTATTTTATTCATTGCTTTATAGGTAGCATTTTGTAGGAACACAGAGAATATTTGCTGGCTAAATCAGTGCATGAATCAAGGTGAATGAACGTGGTTAACAATCGTATGGGAGGGGGCTAGAGAGTCAGGGCAGGGTCTTTAAATCTATATTCACATCAAGTGATGTCATAGATTAAAACATATGACTGCACTCATTCGCAGCTTTATGTAAATCATGCTACGAGAATGTGTTCCTCATGAAGAACAATGTTGAGAATCATCAATTTAGATCATAAATAAATGCACTTATGAATCTATATTCCTAGAGCTGTCAGAACAGCAAAATGCTTAGTGCTAGAAACCAGGTTTTGTACTTGGTATTGACATTGCACAGCATAATTTCTGACTCATCATTAAGTAAATTTCTAAATGTTTATTAACTGAATGAATACATAAGTCTCAAAGGAAAATAATGTGTACCTTTCATCACACATGCTACTTTCTGCTCTATACAAGGCTTAATGATGCTTAACTTTGATCTGCTGTTGTCTCTTCTAATGTCTTTGGGATGATAACTTCATATTTTAGAAAGAGAAGCCCTTAGTGGATAATTAGCAGCAATCAAAAGGAGCTTAAACATGCCATAAAGGTAGTTTCTGTCAAGAATAATTTTCTTTGTAGGAAATCGATGCTGTGAGACAGGCTGAAGCCACATGCCCAGCACAGAGGTGTTCTGAGAACCATCTCCCCGGGCCATTTTCTCTCCAGCCATCTCCCAGACCAGCAATGCCCAGTACCTTCTGCGGACCGTCCTGCCACAGAGGTCTGATTATGCTATGAGCTAGAGAGTTTCTCACAACTGAACTTCTAAATTTCTCACATGAATTGAGGTTTACAGTCAGGCCTGTTTTTTTTTTGGTTTTTTTTTTCCCCCCTCTTTTAACCCAAATCGGCATCGTCGGTGAGAGACAACACCAACAATAATTTCACATGGAGAAATAATGTGATCCTTTTAGTCGGACTTTAAGAAATATCAATCTCACCTTTAGGGGATTCTGCAAAATCAAGGAGATCTTAAAAAAGAACACTTAGATGGTGGAGCCAATCAACACCTCAGTTCTAAATGGTACAGATTTGGTGATCTATACAGAGATGTAGAGGCCTTTCAAGAATTATCCAGGGAATTTCGACCAATTGAAGCATGTCCATAGGCCCTGAAATGGCAACCCTTAGAAGTTCCTTAAATACAGAGACGAAGGCACATGTCCTTAAGGGGAAGAAATCTAATAATGAGACAATAGTGTTAACACAAGCAGACACTTAAAGTTGCTAGTTCAACTAAAAAGCTTTGCCTGGGGAATAATTCAGAGTTTACCTCTGTGTGATAGGACACCTAATTGAAACAATACTTTCAACTTTAGAAATCTTCAGATACTAAGTATTTATTAGAAAGCTATAAAATATGAACAGTAAAGGGTGTAACAAAGACCAGGATGTACCCATGTATTTAGCTATTCTGAGGAATAAAAAAGGTTACATTTATCAATTTCTCTAGAATTTGGATCAATGATTTTAGATTTTTTTTTATCAAGGTATTCCTTTTTTCTAATAATCAGTATTAAGGACCATGGGTTATGCATTCATTTGGATTTAGTATTAATTTAGCTAGAAAAGTTTAAACAAATCTCTCCTAGTTAACTTATATTCATGTATAAGTATAATAACTAAGTTCTAGTCTATCAAATTAATGGGCTCAACTAACAATATTCTAAGCCACCTGGATGGAAGTATTCATGTAATTGCCCGTCTCTGTTCTTTAATCATAAGTGAACTTTTTTTTTTTTTTTTTAATTTTAAAATGGGCTCCATGCAGGGCATGGAGGTGGGGCTTGAACTCATGACCTTGAGATCAAGACCTGAGCTGACTTTTACACAGACTCAGTGCAGGGTCTACAAGTCTATATTCAGATCAAGTGGGTGTAGATCAAAACATGTGACTGGACTCAGTTGAGTTATCCAGGAGCCCCCAAACTTTCTTTTAACTAAATGCTCCCATTTTTACAAAAATGGTATTTATGGGTCTCTTCCAGGCTAGGTTAAATTTTAGGATATGCTGCCAATGTGAGAGTAGTTTGTGTACATCACAGTACAGGCTTCCTGCCCAGGAAGTTTTCCATAATCGATATGCAGTAATTATCTATGAATCGAGCAATTTATCAAATGCACTAGGATGCACTTCTAATGACTACTTCTACCAATAATATCATTCATTTTTATAGCCCTTTATAATTTACTAAGTATTTCTCCATACGGCTATCAATTACATCACAGAAATACCATTTTAAAGGTAAGAAATACCATTTTAAAGGTAAGATAAAGTAAAATACCATTTTAAAGGTAACACTGAGAGCCAGTGTTCACTCATGGCTGAGATCACTTGGTTGGAAATGACAGAGGCTTCTGGCCCACCTCCAGGATCACATTTTTCATACCGATTCTCTTCGAATGAGAAGTATCCTCACCCTTCCTATCTAGTAACTGATCTGAACTTCAGTGCATTTATTTTCCTTATTCCCTTTGATTGAAGCATGTGCAAGGGAGCCCACAAATGACCAGAATACATGAGATGCATGCACAGCTAACTCTATGAATCCAGTGGGACACCGAGAAGGGTAGAGCCGATTCACATTGTTTTCCCATCACCACCCACTTTCAAGCCTGTGACTAGACTCAACTTTGGGCAAATAGGAGTTATACAAAAACTTTCATTATAAGAATCTAAAATTTGGTAGGAAGCAGAAATAGGCCAAAGAATGCTTTAGGTTTAAAGACCTCTGACTTTTTCTAGTAGCTGTAAAAGCATTCAGATGGTTGCTCATATAAGTTTTAGATGAATTTCGAATATTACCACCAGTTATATACACAAAATGTATCTAATGTGATATATATATATGTGTGTGTATATATATATATATATAATATATATATATGTATATATATATATTTTATATATTTTTAAAAAAACCCCCTGGAAAATTAATTTTTTTTTTTTTTTTTTGCAACTTAATCTTACTTGAATACATATACCTAAGGGGGGGAAAACACACTAACATAAATTATAAATAGGAGTTTTATATGGCACATGTTCCTCTGGGATAAAGTCCAATAATAACAAAAGGAGTCTTATAATTTTTTTCTTATAATTTTTAAAACTGGTAAGGATCTTAAATGGCCCCCTCTTCCATCTCAGTAGGATTAGTACTAATACCAGAAACTAAAGTCTAACCTTAGCATTGACTTTCATCTACTGGAGAAAACCAGAAAATTGATATCTATCACCCACAGCATAGGCAATCCCCAGACTGCATGGAGTTTGGTGTTAGAATGGCTCGTGCAATGATCTAAGAAAATCACTGAAAGGCTCTGCTACCATGTGACCTCAGGATGTACATCTGTGTCCATCCAAACAGCAGAAGAAATGAGAGCAAATATATAGAGAAGAAACTGACTATATTTAGATGGCTTTAAAGTAACAGAATTTTATCAGTCCAAATAAACTATAGTACTTTAATTCTAGACCCAACTTTTAATCTTCCTAGATTCTCAAGACAAAATCACTTTTATTATCATTGTTGTTGTTGTTGTTGTTTTTGCTTTTGAGGTTACTGCAAAACCGACCAAATTCTGCCCCTGAACTATCTACTTACTGACAAATTTTTGTCAGCTTAATCCTTCAGGTGTCTTGTATGATATCAATACCGAATTGCTTTTCCTTAAATTAGTTCATTGGAAAAAGGAGGGCAGGATTTTGAAGATTACCGTTTTTTAGAAGTAACCTAAAATTTTTTCCAGCAAAAGGCAATCTCAAAGAATTTCAAATTTTTGTCAAAAAGATTAAAGCTTGGTTTCAAAGTAAGCAAACGTTGAAGCCAAGCTTTCAAAGTAAGCGATATTAGGAGATCAAATTGATTTGTTATACAATTCATGGCATACCTACTATCTCATATCATTCTAATAACTTCATGCCACTGCAGTTCAAGGTAAAGGAACAATATATTTGCACTGGGAAGTATTTCCAGCCTTATTATGTTCCATACAATTTCACAAACAACTAGTGAACACAACCGCCACCCTTCATTCAGAAAGTATTTTCAATGGGAGAAATACTGTGTTTGGATTCAATGACCTATATAGGATTTAAACTTACCATTTTCCCTCACTGAGATGATCTTCCTCCCAAAATTATCATTTCATATTCAAGAAGAGACATACTAAGCAAGCATATTATTTAATCATGACCTTGAAATTTGTTTTTTTGTTTTGTTTTGTTTTTCTTCCTTAAGCAATTAGTTTCTTCCTGTCAGAGTGTTGGGCTTTTGAAGTTCAACAAAATATATCTTATTTTTAGTCAAAATCATTTTTTTAAAAGTCAAGACTAAAGCCAAAGGGGGGAAAAAAAAAAAAAACTCTCACTTACTTTGCTTTGGCTTCTGCATCTTCATATGCTTTATTGGAGACATCATCCAGTCCTCCAATCAAATGCTTGAAAGAGCTGTTGGGAAAAACAGAGTGGTCAGGGAAATCCCCTGCAGAGTCCTTACAATGACAACCTAGTCAATGGTATATTGAAATAATCCTAAAGGAACTAAATAAAAATGAATTCAAACATTCAATCTAGATACATTGTTAAGAAACACATCAGATAATGATATAACCTCTGAAAGCAGTGACCTCTCCCATCTGCTCACCTCTCTATTTCCCAACACCTTAGAACTATATCTGGAAAAAGCATATATTCAAAGAATGGGTGGAAGAAAGTCTGTGACACACAAAATGATATACACTACAAAGGTGATGGGTCAATTCTACTACGGAAATAACAAGATCCACCAATTATGGAATGCTTACTAAATGCACTATCCTTTTAATGCTCATGAATGTATATTAATTCCAATTCTCCAACACATTGTAGAAAATAAGCATCACTAGCTCCACTTAACAAAATTGTATATTAATCTTCCAAGGCAAAATACATATGCAGAAGATAGGAAAAGAACAGAAGACAATTATAAGGAAGTCAACTCATTTTGGAGGGATCAAAAAACTGACTTCATCATCAACCAGGAACCGTAAGGCAACTGTTTAAACCACTGTATTCAATATCTTGGTATGGACCCAGGACTATGTTCAGACCTACTTTATATAATGAAGTCTCATCTATCGTATACCTATAATATAAAATATTATAAGGTCAGCACAAAATGTATACACACAAACATGGAAATCGCCCTTGAAAATTACTGAATGCAACGAGATACAGTAACTCTTGCGTGCATGACATTTTGGCAACCACTGAACTGGACTGAACAGGGGAACGAAAGGAAAGTCTATATTCAAAGTGTCACATAATAATCAGGGCTGTCACTTACACAGTGCTTATATGCTGGGTACTGTTCTATGTGCTTTATATGTAATAACAAGTACTTCTATGGGTACAGCAATCCTGTGAGGCAGTATTACCTTCACTACACAGATGAGGGTAATAAGGCACCAGAGGTTAAGAAACTGACCTCCAGTCATAACAGCCAGGTGGGGTAAGGGCTGATAGGAAGGAGGTCATCATTCTACCCCAGACCCTTAAAACCTACCCTGTGGCTCCTATCCAAATCACGATGTCTTGACACTAACCATCGAATCCCTAGCAATGTCCAGAGTATGGATGGTGAATGGTCAAATGTATAAGAAACTACATTTTAATTTTAAACCTCTATAATTTTAATGCATGAAAATGGCTTTGTGTATTATATCAAGTAACAAAATATGCCTGGTCAGGTGCTTACACATGGGGTATTTGTTGATATAAAGTTAAATGTTGCTTAACCACTTCAATGCACACTGTTCTTTTTAGCTATTGTTTGTTTGGTTTTGCTTTAAATGTATGAAGAAGAACGTAACACTTGCTTGGGGACCCAGCCAACAGGAGGTTGGGGAGCCATTACCTCAGGACCTTGGGTAATAATCTCATCTGGGGGACAGGGTAGCTGGAATGCTGAGCTAAAACACAAAGTGTTTCTAATACAAGAAGGGACCAGAAGGAAGTGATGGGAGGCTAGAGAATCAAGCATCACAGAGCGTCAAGTTTTCTGTGACACACTGTGTTAATGGACATCAGATAAATGAAGCCTGCAGTTGGCTGATGGTCCTTATACAACTTCCAAAGACATATAATGATAAAATAAATGATAAATAACCCCCATAGTTGATTTTCATGTTCGAATAGGATTTTTGCCATTGTTCTTTCCAATAAATAGAATGTCACCATCATGATTTAGAGATAGGTTTACACTGTAAAGTGAAATACAGTATTTGCTGTGGAAAAAATATGTGGTTGATACCATATCTTCTTTATCCATTCATCTGTCGAAGGACATCTGGGCTCTTTCCATAGTTTGGCTATTGTGGACTTGCTGCTATGAACACTGGGTTGCAGGTGCCCCTTTGGATCACTATATTTGTATATTTGGGGTAAATACCCAATAGTGCAATTGCTGGGACATAGGGTAGCTCTATTTTTAATGTCTTGAGGAACCTCCATACTGTTTTCCACAGTGGCTGCACCAGTTTGCATCCCCACCAACAGTGTAGGAGGGTTCCCCTTTCTCCGCATGTTTGCCAACACCTGTCGTTTCCTGTCCTTTTTAATTTAACCCAGTCTGACTGGTATAAATTGGTATTTCATTGTGGTTTCGATTTCTACTTCCCTGATGACAAGTGATATTGAGCATTTTTTTCATGTGTCTCTTGGCCATTTGTATATCTTCTTTGGAGAAATGTCTGTTTATGTCTTCTGCCCATTTCTTGACTAGATTATTTGTTTTTAGGGTATTGAGTTTAATAAGTTCTTTATAGATCTTGGATACCAGCCCTTTATCTGATATGTCATTGGCAAATATCTTCTCCCATTCTGTAGGTTGCCTTTTGGCTTTGTTGACTGTTTCCTTTGCTATGCAAGTTTTTTTTAACTTAATGAAGTTCCAAGAATTCATTTTGCTTTTGTTTCCCTTGCCTTTGGAGATGTGTCTTGCAAGAAGTTGCTATGGCAGAGGGCAAAGAGGTTGCTACCTGTGTTCTCTAGGATTTTGACGGATTCCTGTCTTACACTTTCTCTTCACTTTCATTCTGTATGGTTTAAGAACGGTCCAGTTTCATAATTCTGCATGTGGCAGTCTAATATTCTCAGAACCATTTATTGAAGAGACTGTCTTTTTTCCATTGGCCATTCTTTCCTGGTTTGTCCAATATTAGTTGACCATAGAGTTGAGGGTCCATTTTTGGGCTCTCTATTCTGTTCCATTGATCGATGTGTCTGTTTTTGTGCCAGTACCATGCTGTCTTGATGACAACAGCTCTGTAATAGAGCTTGAAGTCAGGCATTGTGATGCCACCAGCTTTGGTTTTCTTTTTCAACATTCCTCTAGCTATTTGGAGTCTTTTCTGGTTCCATACAAATTTTTAGGATGGTTTGTTGCAGCTCTGTGTAAAATGTTGATGGTATTTTCACAGGGATAGCACTGAATGTGCAGATTACTCTGGGTAGCATAGATATTTTAACAATATTTATTCTTCTAACCCATGAGCGTGGAATATTTTTCCTTTTTTTTTTTTGTTTATCTTCCTCAATTTCTTTCATTAGTATTCTGTAGTTTTTAGAGCACACATCTTTTACCTGTTTGGTTAGGTTTATTCCTAGGTATCTTACAGTTTTAGGTGCAATTGTAAATGGGATTGATTCCTTAATTTCTCTTTCTTCTGTCTCATTGTTAGTGTAAAGAAATGCAATGGATTTCTACGCACTGACTTTTATATCCTGCCATGTTGCTGAGTTCCTGTATGAGTTGTAGTAATTTTGGGGTGGGGTCTTTTGGATTTTCCACATAAGGTATCATGTCGTCTGTGAAGAGTAAGAGTTGACTTCTTCATTGCCAGTTGAATGTCTTACAAACTTGTTCTATGAGGCCAGCATTACCTTGATCCCAAAACCAGACAAAGACCCCATCAAAAAGGAGAACTACAGAACAATATCCCTGATGAACGTGGATGCCAAAATTCTCACCAAGATTTTAGTCAATAAGATCCAACAGTACATTGAAAGGATGATTCACCAGGACCAAGTGGGATTTATTCCTGGGCTGCAAGGGTGGTTCAACAGTCACAAATCAATCAACCTGACACATCACATTAATAAAAGAAAGAACAAGAACCATACGATACTCTCAATAGATGCTGAAAAAGCATCTGACAAAGTACAGCATCCTTTCTTGATCAAAACTCTTCACGGTGTAGGGATAGAGGGTATATACCTCAATATCATCAAAGCCATCTATGAAAAACCCACAGTGAATATCATTCTCAATGGGGCAAAACCGAGAGCTTCTCCCCTAAGATCAGAACAAGACAGAGAGGCCCACTCTCACCACCATTTGTTCAATACAGTACTAGAAGTCCTAGCCTCAGCAATCAGACAACAGAAAGAAAGAAAAGCGTTTGAAATTCCTATTCGCAGAGTATACAAATGCAAAAACCCTACATCTGGTGAAGATCTACAGAGTTTTACAAGCAGAAACCATCTAATCACAGAAATGAGTTTAAAAGTAAGTTGAGCCTGATTGGAAGAAAAAAACACATTTAGACTGATTATGACCATTTTACATCCATTTTTGTTAAAGCCTGGTCATAGCCAATGGTAAGTATCACATTTAAAAAGAGTGAACAAAAGAAGTATTTCAAGTGTGATTTTTTCATATGTTTTCTTCAGTGTCCTTGATTTAAAATATGAATTCATGTGGTCCTAATGATTCAATATTTCTAATTTTTTTTTTACACTACTGGATTGAAAAAATGAAGGGAATAATATCAACTTTCAAAAGGCCCCTATCTTGATACGATAGGGACTTATTTTTGAAACATATTCCTGCTAATTAAGGAAAATGCTTCTCATCTAAAATGTAATCAATTTATTATTACAGTAAAGGTTTTTTTTTTAAGATTTTATTTATTTAAGAGAGAAAGAGAGAACGTGCAAGCAAGAAGCAAGAGGAGGGGCATAGGGAGAGGGAGAGAATCCTAAGCAGACCCACATTGGGCTGGGTCTTATGAGATCATGACCTGAGCAGTTATCAATAAGATGCTTATCTAACAGAACTACCCAAATGCCCCTCTTACGGAAAGCTTTCAAAAAACTCAGAAGAAATTCAGAAATCATTATAGTTCTCTAACCACAAATAATGAATTGGAATATCTTTATGTATTTCTTTTCACTTTTTTTCTATAGGGCTTTACTGTTACATTTATAGAGTTGCAATCCTAAAGCAGCTAGGATTTAATACCTTGATTTTTTAAATTAATATTCTAGCGTAAGTATAGAGTTTTATTTTATTTTTTTTTAATTTTATTTTTTATAAACATATATTTTTATCCCCAGGGGTACAGGTCTGTGAATCGCCAGGTTTACACACTTCACAGCACTCACCATAGCACATACCCTCCCCAATG